TAAAGTATATGAACAATATGCTCCCAGTATTCGAGAAACTTAATCAAAGAAGGCCTGAAATTTACAAGACACATATGTAAAAAAAAAAAAAGAAAATATAGAACACTTGGTGAGTTACAAGCTATCTCTGAACTTATTCTGCACCTTAGAGAAGCAAGTAGTAGAAGCAACCCTACATGAATTAAAAGATTTAGAGAGCTTAGAGGAAATTAAAGAAGAAGTCCTAACAATGCTAGGAAAAGGATAACAAGTTGATGAAATGTACAAAAGAGAAAGATATATTAGAGGCTTAATCACAAAAGAAGACTTTGATGAGTTAGGATTTCTTTTCAACCTGAACAACCAAACGAAGCGATTTCTAGAAAGACTTTGGAAGAATTGGATAAAGGAAGTCTACGAAAGAATTTGGGTTCCAAGATGCAAATTAGTACAAGAATGAGAGAAGGAAAATGGAATTGCACCAAAAGATAAAAGAAGATTCTATAAAAAGACAAGAAAGAAGAAAAAGAAGAAGAAAAAACTACCAGACAGACATACTATTAAAAGAAAGAAAGATAAGAACAAGAATAAAAGTTGGTTGTCAGTTCTAGTGATAACCAAGAAAAAAGTGATAAGTTAGATTCTAGAAGTGAAATGTTTAGATTGGTGGAAAACTAATATATAGTCTTGACAGGTGGTAAGAACTAGCTATTGATGTATTATCGAAGCCAATTGCAGAATAAGGTAATACAGAGACAATTCTTACTATAGCAGGTCACACATAGGTACTCAATGAGCAACTGGGTGAGTCTCCACTTGTAATTTAGATACTGGAGAGAATAACTCTTCAGAAAATTTTAATAGTTTAGATAATTATTACAAAGCCTAATAAAGTGAAGACAGGACTGCCAAATTTATTAAAAAAAATAATAATAATAATAAATAATAAAATCTGAATTAAAAAAATAATACAAATAACTATATATACACACATACAAATATACAAAAGTAAATATAGAACAAAACTATATAAATTGAAATCTACATTGGGTGATACCAAAATCTAGCGTATGAATAGTGAGGAAACCCATAGGGTTAGAGGGCTGATGGAGGTAGTTAGAACCAGATGGTTTAAATGGGTACCCCCTAGTTGGGGTGCAGGTATGGCAGATAGTGTAGAACCTTCGGGCGGACTACTTAAATAGGCACTCAAAAGGTGCACGTGTGGCTTGATGTACCATCGTTGTAATTACATATAAAACTTCATCTATACTCTAATAAAAAGTTCCCCAGACCAAAGAGGTCACCTTAATACCAAAAAAAAAAAAAAAAAAGATTAAAGTTAGGTTAAGATTAGGGTTAGGATTAATTTAAAATTAAAATCTAAGATAACTTTGTAAGAGGAGTATTTTTTGTTAAGAATACAACAGGGTTATCTTAGTAAAATTTTGAGAATACTACAGAGTTAGTCTAAAAAATATAAAGAGGTATACAGCTATGCAGATGCATATTTTAAATAAACCTAAAAAAAGAAATTAATATATAATTTTTAATTAATCAAAATTGATTATATAAAAATTAAACAATTATAATTGATTACATAATTTTAAAATTTGGCTGTTTTTAATAAAAAGATATTGTTTTAAACTATTTCACACTATGTTAATAATTACATTATTATATTAATTAAACAAAAGTTTATAACTATAGTATACAAAGCCACAAAACCAAATAATTAAACCTTATTTAAGAAGTCTTAAGCAAGAAATAATAAAAACTTTTAATAGTATTATAGAAAAACTAAATTTGAAATTGAAAACCAAGATTAGAAAACCAAATAAAAAATATTCCTAAGTAAGAATTTATTAACCAAACTACTAGAACTATTATATCAGAAATATATATATTTTTAAAATTATATATTAAAAAGAGATAGGCCAAAAGTTTTTAAAGCTTGGCTAAAAGTTAATTTTTCTAAATTACTAGCTAGAAGTAAAAAAAACTAATAAAGAATTCAAAAAAGGAAAAAAGTTTAAATATAAATACCAGAGTTAATATAAATTTAACAAGAGTAAAAAACATATATAATTTAAAGAGTATATTTATTTCTCACCCAGGGTGAGATTTGATATTACTCACCTCTTTAATATTATCTAATAAACGTGCAAGATCAGGTGTAATGTGTGTAACATATAAATTATCTTTATGTAACAAAAACAAAGTCAATTTTTTAAAAAATTGCCAATATTTCACCATTTTGTTTATGAAACCACTCTTTGGATTCTAATAAAAAAGATTTCTTACATGATTTTACATATAATGCATTCAACTCTAACTTGCTAACGTTTTAGGTTCAATCTCATTTTAAAAAAAATGATGAGGAGGGTGAATAATTTACCCGAGTAGTGAATAAATTATTTCTAATTTAAAATATAACTCTAATTACTAATATATAAATTAAGCTATTATAATATCTTTGTTATTTATTCTAAAAATATATAAAATTTAGAAAATTTAGAAAAAGCAAGGCTACTTTGTCTATTTAGAAGTAATATTATAATTAAGATTTAATATATTAAGAGATAAATTAAATATAAAGTTATTTTATAAAAGATAAAAACAACTCTTTTTGATGATTACCCAAATCAAATTTTTTAAAAATAATTTTTTTAAAAAACTTTTAAAGTAGTTTATAAAAGTAAGTTAGAAAAACTATAAATTGGCAACTGCTATTTAGAGGTAGTTCTTATATACTACCTGCTAATAGTTTTAAAGTTTATTACTTACTACTAAAACAACATTTATTGTTTAGAAATAATTCTCATATACTATTTGCTAATAAGTTTAGAGTTTATCACTTACTAAAAAAAAAAGTACTTGCAGTATCTGGTATAATTGTAGAAAGACTATAGTTAACAATTTTTTTGTTAAGATTAATATACACTCTTTAATAAACAAAACAAGTAATACTATTTTTTTTTCTTGCTTTCCTGCTACTCTTTTAAAATTTTCACAAAAGTGAACAAAATAGCTTACTTCTACAAAAAATTAGTATTGTTTACTTCTTTTAATTTAGATAGACTTAACAGTTTGTAATTACATGTTTGTTTTATTTTGTTTATAAACTATGCTGCTTTATATAATATTAATTGGTATTAGTAGTTAAAGAAGTATTCAAGGTTGGATAATTTAGTTAAAAAATTAAATTATAAGATGAAGCTTTATAATAAAAATATATAAATAATCTATTTGTTATATAATTTTTTAACCCTTGTACAAGTGCTAATAGTACAATAGTTATAGTTTTTACTATTATTTTGTTTTCTTTTTTATTTTTATTTTTATTTTTATATAATTTTTTTCTTTTTTTTTCTTTTTTTTTTTCTTTCCTCTTTTTTTTTCTGGTTATATTCTTTATAATGTATTATTTTTAAATCTTTCCTTATTTTCTTCAAGCTTTTTTAGAAGAATAAAAAATTTTAAGAAGGCAATCTTGACAAAGCTAGCAATAAGCTTTCAGTGATTTAATAGTAATTATCTGGGTCTTTGCCTTAAAAATAACCTTATAGTATATGATATTATAAGATCATTTTCAAAGCAAGACCCCATCTAGCAAGTTAGATGCTAGAAATAAAAGTATATATTGCTAAAGCAGATCACACTTAAGCACTCTTGCAAGCAGCTGAGTGAGTCTTTATTTTAAAAGTAGAAGCATTTGGTTTGTTGTAGGCTTGGTGTTTAGATATTATATATCTTAGTATACATACTTCTAAATAAATAAAAACAAAATTGCTAAAGTTAAAAAACAAAAAATACTATATATATATATACAGTATAAAATAAAGAAACAGTAGATTTTGGTGAAAATTTTCTAGATTATAAATTTGGTGAAATAGCCAGCTAGAGTTTAAATAGTTAATTCTAGTATGAGTTATACATACAGACATTTAGTGTAGACAGTACCAAAAATGCAATAGCTAGCTGTACTCTTACTGTAAATTCTAATAATATATAGATTATATAAAATTTATAACACAAAAATTGATTTTCTGAAGATCTTTTGTTGGTTCCTTTTTTGCAGCACCTAGCCCATATGTGACTTTGCACGACCCTAGACCGTTGAATTTGGCCGGCATTAAAAATCAATTTCATAATTCGGGCCATGTCACATGATTTTGAATTATCGCTACTTCAAATTTTGAATCGTATGAACCCAACCAATCAGATCAATAGGAATTAACAGACAACGTGACATGTAACCGAACTTAAAATTTTGGTTTTTTATGGATAAACCCCAAATTATGAAAAACTATAATTTTGCACACCAGGAGTAATTCGGGAATTACAGAAAGCAATTTTTGGCGGTTTAATCATTCAGAATATTAACTTTAATGCAGAAGTGTATTTTTCTAATAAACAATGCACAAAAAAAGGCATGCTTATGGGCACGAAGAGCATGCCTTAACTCAATTGAAATAATTTATAATAAATTACCATATGCATCATCATTTATATATTAGAAATTTTTGCTCACTAAAATCACGAGAAACATGTCCTGTACCTGATAAAATTATAAACCGATTTTCCTTTTTCATGCAACTTAGAAACAAATAAATTTTTCAAGAGGCTAATACTGTATTGGTAAATTGTCATAGAGAACTCGTGTTACAGTACAAAGATCATTCGACTTGCATTAAGTTTAATTTTAGACATGATTATACCGATACGGAATCATATTTCCTGAATTTAGAAACACGAAGATTTAATTGGCTGAGGCTAAATTTGTCAGACAGTTCATCAATACCTAAATTACAAATTCATTTGAATGCGCTAAGTAGTTAGAATTTAGAAACAATAAGTTTATAGAATAAACGAAGAGTTCATGTGTATTTGTTTTGGATTGCTTGTCACACGGAACATTCAATCGGTTAAAATTTAGGACAGATTTAAAAAGATCTCCGAAATGAAATTTGAAAGATGAAGAAAAAAATTCTTTTTCTTTATAATGATTTTTTTGTTCAATGTCTAGGATAACTTTAATGAAAATCATCGTTCTATTCGCGATATTATGTGCACTACCATGTTATTCGATAGATTATCCTCAATATCCTGCCAATGAAATACCAAATCTATCTCTAACTCCTCCCTTAACGAATTTTGTATTGCCAATTTCTCCAGTACCATATAACAATAATTCTAATATTTCATGGGTAATAGAACCAAGCGGTCTTCATGTATTCAGTGCAGCAAGTTATCCGAATGGACCGATAATCCTACGACTAGTTCGTAGTGGTGTAAATAACTGTTCTGAGCCTTACTTGTATCTAAGATTAATATATCCAAATGTTATAGTTCTCAACATTAGTACAAATGACCCTAATATAACCGCGATTCCTACTTTTAATTTTTGTCCAATTCCAACAACCAATCCACCACGTGATCTGATTCGTATTTTTCCCTTGTCATATAATCATATTATGATCGCGTATTTACAAATTAATAATGGGACTGGTCCGGAAACTCATGAGGAATTTGGAAAGTTTATTGATTGGGAGGGGAATGTTATTCAGTAAGAAATCGAATTTTTTTTTTTTATACACATTAATTTAGGTATTAATTCTAATCTATGATCTTGAATTCGCGTCACATAATTATCTATTGTATATACTCAATTTGATAAAGAGAATTAAACCTTGGACCTATCAATTTTACTACAAACGATACTTCATCATTGGGTACATTAGTGGTCGACTCTTCCCAAAGATATGGATTTATATGGGTTAACCGCGTGTCTCAAAATGAAACTATAAGATGGCAAAAATATTCTATTTCGTAAGTTTAAAAATGAACGTGATTCAATATATTTGAAAACATTGTGTAATAAAAAATATATACGTATATTATAGAGACCAACGTATTGTAAGCCCTTCAAATAATGGCAACTTTTCTATAGATCCAACGCATCAATACAAAATAATTGCAACAATCGATGGTGGATATTGTTTCGTCATGGCGGGACCCTTAGTCAATAATAATACTTTATTTCCCAACGCTTATTGGGTGGCTAGTGTAGTATTTATTCGTCCATCTCCAACATATTATACGACACTGCCCTCATTAATATATCAATACATGTTACAAGCAGTTTCAATGAATATTGAAACATGTGATAATACATATTATGAACCTGAATTAGCATGTGTTTTTAGCATTAAAAGTAGCATTTCAAATATTTCTTCAAGTTACGTTAGAGTAGCATTCTATTCAAGTGGGGGTGTAAAAAACGCAACGACATTGAATATTACTGATAATGTTTTTAATATTGATACTATGTACCAATTATGGAGTGGTGGATACCTTTTAGTTGTTCGCTGGCAACCTAATATTAATAACACTTTCACTGGTTATATTTATGATCTCCAAAGAAATAATTTAACCATTTGGGATGCACCCTCGTCGCCTGGAAATTTTGTGATCCCAAATGGAGTATTTACTAATAATACTGTTTGGATGTTTTCGGATGTAAATTCTGCAACACCAAATATAAGTAATTGGACATTAACGACAACTATTGCAAAAAAATTTGTTACACTCGGTACCTAGTTTTTTTTTTGTCATTTTAAGAAAAAAATTTCATGAGTTCTAATTGAGTTCTAATTAAGTTCTAATCTTTTATAGATCATGTTCCTGGAAATTTAGATATCAACATAACATTCCCAAATATAACCGAAGCTTATTCGAACAAAGAACTAGCGATCAACATGACATTTTATAATAAAATTGCATTATCAGTAAAAAATATTTCAATATATCAAGATAGTGGCACAGATTTGATACCAAGATTATATTATAATGCACAGAATAACAGTAATAAATTTAATATTTCATCAGATTCAAAGGTGATTTCGATAAATATTCTGAGTAGTACATTTGCTTCTCCACAAAGTCGATACTATATTGTTATGGATAATAATTTTATTAAAGATTATGTGTCTGATGAACCTTTGTCAGGTGCTAACTGGAGTTTTACAACAGGTGAGAAAGATGATGACATTATGAATGTATTGAATGAAGATTATTGATAAAGTATATTGGAATTTGTAGGACCAAAAACGGAACAAGCCCTTGGAAGTAAGTTTATTATCTATTTGTGAGATAAATTTTAATTATCGAACTAATCATAAATTGATTCTCTATCATATAATATCCTTTATAAAACCTAAATATCAACTAATTTAGGTGCGGAATACGCATTGGTCCGTTTAAACGCGGATGAGTCAAACAACTTTAATAACCTTTCGAAAAGCGGCAGATCAGATTATCTCTATAATTTAACAAAGGAACTTGCACATTCAGTTCCAATAGATCACTCAAATTTAGTAGCGGTTAATCAATTTCAATGGGATAAAAATGTTAATAATTTACAGATTTTATTAAAATTTCAAATATTACCAAACGATAACGTGAATAATCTTACCGTACTGGAAGTTATTGAAACGCTAAACGATTTGATAACAAACAGAGATGTTACATGGATATCTAAGTCAAAGTTTAGCAGTAATTTGGATAGTCAATACGGATTTATGCTTAAAAGTAAGTTTTACCATTATAAAGGTTTAAGTGCCCTATTGTGAATAATCGCACCTCTTAAATTTCGAGGCCAAATTTCTCGGGATCCAGTGATTCTACATATTTGAATCGACTTGCTGAGGCAATTCAAATGATGCAAATCATTCGAATACAACCACTGGATCTGAGAAATTTGGTTTCAAAAATTTGAAAAAGGATGCTTATTCACAATGAGATATATAATAATGTGTAATTAATAAAATTTTAAATTATTAAAAAATTTTTAGAGAACGTTTGGACTCGTTATGGATATAATTTAATTTTCATAGGGCTCATTCCCTTTTTTTTAGCCGTTCTTACACTATTGTCATACCGAGAAAGAAATAATGTAAGTCTAATGTTTGAACTATTTATAAGTAGAAATTATTATTCCAGCGTATTGAAATTATTTACATATGATTATTTTAGGGAAACAACTTTATGCCATTCAAAATCTTACTTATAATTTTTGATTTTGTTATCGACTTGATGTTTGTACTTGTATATTCGAGGGATTTAAACGTCTTGTTTTATCCTAGGTATTCCTTTAGATTCACTCTTTTTATTTATTTTTTTTTTAATATCATAAATTTATAACACGATTTTTCTATTGTGCTCTCATTTCAAAAAAAAAAGTTTATTTTGCCTAGTAGTACCATTAGGATTCAACATAACGGTATCATTTTTCCTATTAATCCATGAACTTTCACAAGATACAGAATTCTATGGATGGTTTAGAACATATCACAACGTAGCGGCTATATCTACGCTCTGCGCTGGAATAGATATTGATATATTGACATTAATAACATCGAAATTAGCAAATAGTCCATTGTTTAAAGCACCATTATCTCAATCAAGTAAAAATTGGATATCTCGTGTTGGCTGTATTAATTTTTTTATTGAAGATGCACCTCAGTTGGCTATCCAGGTTATTATTATTATTATTATTATTATTATTATTATTGTTTTATTAATTTTCAATACAACATTTATTGACATACATTTTTTTTAATAGATGTACTATATAATATGCTCAGTCAATTATGACATAATACCTTTTATAAACCTAGTGACATCCGCGTTACTTTTCAGTTGTATAGTTCTTGGCAGAATATACAAATGTTTAAACCGTATAGAAACACCTAATTATTCCACCATCGAAACATCATTTCATGACCATAATGACGAATCATCATCGAAGTACAGTCACGAATATATTGAAGATATCCCATCGTCACCTAGTATTGTTCCTGAGACAAGGGTAAGCCCACCAAGTCATGTGTGGATACCAAGTTTCGGATTTGGAAATCATGGTATCCCAAGAACTCATTCTGAAAGAATTAATTTACCGTTAGCTCCGTTGGGCAGGCATAATAAAGTTAATGCTATGTCAGTTGAAAAACCACGAATTATTACAACTAACGAGAATATAGAAAACATAGAAAGTATAAGTGGTACACCAGGAATTACGATAACGCATATTAAAGATGGAGAAAGAAACGGAGGAGAATTTGAAGATGATGATAGTGTCATTAGTAAAAGATATAAATATCATAGTGGAGATTACGGACTATTGAATTATAAAGCAGCGGATAGTAACGACGATGAGTTTGAGCAAGAAGACCTTGATATAAGACATAAATATCATAGTAATTCACGTTACAACCAATTGAGTAATAATGCAATGGATAGTTGATCGCAAATCCCTATTACAAACGACTAAAGAATCAGAATGACATTTTTGTCTATATATTGTGTAAGCTTTAATGTAATATATATATATTGTATAATTTGATGAAATATTGTTGTATTATTTGGTGTTGTTTGTATTCATTTGTATTTAAAAGCAAGCTTAAGTATATTATTAAAAAAAAAAATAAATAAAATAATATGGTTTATAATAATATCTAATGTTCTTGTATCTTCGAAATCGATATTATCATCCATGCATCTTAAATAAACTTAAAGCGCGTCAATAACAGAGTGTCCAATTAAACAAAGTTTAACAGAGTTTCGATAATAAGAATATCTAAATTCACATTTGTCAGTAAGTATGAATACGATTATGTTAGAGTTTTCGTTAAAAATGATTTATACGAAATTTAACTCATGGTCATGATTTCATTACTAAAATGTTCTTTAAGAATAATGTTGAGAGTAATGTTCATAGCTAAAATTGAGAATGATTATATATACTTTTGATTGTGCAAAATAATCCGCAATCACTAAATAAATTCTATGATCCTTTCAGATTCACTGACACACTAAGCCACTTCGATCTATAAAAATCCGTCACAGACGTCTTAAACTAACGAATCGACAAACTTTATTAAATCAAGATCTAGTAATCTTTATAACATATTATGAAAAACAAAAAATGACCAATACAATGAGTTGGCAAAATTTTGGATATTGGAATAAATATAGAAAAGTTTATTAATGACGGAAAATTATAGTCTATATTGTTACAACAGAATTTTAATTTAACTGGTTAATTAGAGAATTTGAATTCCGCTTATAACCAAATCTATTCAGTACCAAACCAAATTATAAATTAGAATTCTTTGAAGATGAATATAAAAAAAAAACCCCCCGGAAATATTAATTTTTATAAACCTCAGATTATTCAAGTTATTAATAATATATGCAAGTAAATTAGATCGGTTGCTTACGCGATCGATCACGTCAGTTATTACTTTCTCAGTAAATCATAGTTTATATCCAATTACTCAGGATATAAGTATTGGTATTGGTATTGCTTATGCGATTAATACTAACCCGGTGCTTAAAGTTCGATATAACGATAACTTTAATAGATTTTTCAAAGTATAAATTTTCAGGAGCAATTACGTTTTAAAATCATAATTTCTTTTATTAAAACGCACAGAATATGAGCCCATTATTAATTTACGCAATATACAGTATATCGATATTGATTCTTATTTATTACTGTATTATATAATTTGTAATATCAGATATGTTTTTTGTACGTATAACCAGTATATACTTTTGGAGGTTGCTGTTTGTACGTATGTCATATGATGCGGACGTACAGTATATAAATATAGATTTAGGATACATTATTTGACCAGATGTACTACATTCAACATTTCATTCCTCTCATATAGCATATAAT